CTGGGAGCCGTCCTCGGCCGTGCTGCTGAGGCAGGTGAGGCTGTTGAAAGTCTGGCGGTTCTGCAGAGGAAGGGGAGAGAGGCAGCTGAGGTGGAGACCGGGATAATCCGGTCCGATAATCCGATGAGCCAGGAGTGTTCATGATCCCAAACCCGAGATCCCTCAGCCCAGCAGAAAACAAGCAGAGCAGCAGGAACACTCAGCAGGTCCCCAGGAGATGGAGAGATGCTGCAACACTCCATCTCCCCATCCATGGCAGGACCTGTGGCCCCCTGCCCTGCAAAGGCAACAGGCTCAAAACCACCCCAGCCTGCTCTGGATCGGCCCCATCACCATCTCCACTCCATGCACTGTCCAGTTCCACATGTAAGGCAGAACAGAGCTCACCAAAAATGAATGAACATTTCCAATAACTCCCCTTATTAACCAAGAAAAACTTCAGCACTTTCTTTCAATAGCTGAAAGCTTATATCCTGCTAAACCCTCCTCTGTGTTGGCTCATGTCTGTTCCTGTTCCCCTCACTAAAGACCAGGCGAGCACAGTTGTCTGTTCCCTGAGTCTCCATGCCTGGTTACCTTGGCCAGAAACCTGATTCAGTTTATGTACTGTCACGCCTTCTAAACAGTTTCAAGCTCTGAGAATGACAAGGAGCATGCAGGCATTCCAAACCCTCTGGAGCAGAGCACGCAGAGCCTCCCAGGGATGCAGCCTGGCCACGAGTGTGCTCACCTGCCAGGGAATGCCTTTAGCCGGGGCTGGTTTTTAAAAGAACAAACTAAACCCTCGTGACTGAGTGCCAATGGAAATAACGAGGCCATGCCAGTGGCAGAGTGTGTGCTCTGAGCAGGAGGAGCCTGAGGAGGATCTCAGCAGCTTGTGGAGCCTCTCACCAAGCCAGTGAGTGGTGGAGCATTCACTTATCAGGCATTTGTTCTGGACACATCCCATGGGATAGGCCTGAATGGGAATTCCATAAATCCCTGGGAGGAAGGCAGCCCCTCACTAGCTAGAAATGTTCATCTGTTACCAGTCAGTTTTTCATGACAAGAAAGAGGTGCAGGAGAGTATCCAGAGGGAGGAATGGAGTAAGGGAAGGGTCTGGATCACCGGGAGTAGCTGAGGGAGCCAGGAGAACTTCAGTGCCCAACAGAGCATTGGTGACACAGAGTGACAGGGCTGCTGCCTCTATCTGCTCTGGCTGGCCCAATTCAGGACCAAACACACAGCCTGAGACGCAACCTTGTTCCAAAACATCCCCACTAGCATTCCCAAGGAGTTAGGCACGTTTGCTTGAGGGATTTTCCATTCAAATCCAGGTGAGCTGGGAGAAACTCCACCACAACAAATTACCCCAGGCTGTAAACAAAGGAAGATCACCCATTTACAGAGCCCCTAAAGGAGATACAGGGGCTCTGCATCACACCCCAATCAGTTCTTTACAAATCAAAGGGCCTTGTGCTGAGTTGGACCCATGGACCAGTGGCTTTGGGTGCTCCTCTACCCCATGCACATGGTAAAAAGAGTCATTGCAGAGGCTGCTCTATCTAAACAGAGAAGTTCCTGCTGCCCCAGGAGGAGTTGGCCACTGCCCAAGCTGGGGGAAGCTACATTTCACATGGCCTTCAGTCTCTGAAACCTTCAAAAACCCACAAACCCCAAGCCCGTGTGAAAAAAAGGACATTTGTTCTCTAATTATGCAATTGCACCCAGCCCTCACGTCATCCTGGTCATATTTTTTTTTAATCCCAACCATGCTCTGTCTTCTGGGTGCTGAGCATGCAGCAGCTTCAAGCAGAGAGCTGCACACTGTGGTTAATGGACAACTCATAATTACCACTGCAGAAGGCCCGAGGACATAGTAGAAATATTTTCTAAGCACTTCACAAAATTTGCAAGCTTATTTCCAACAGTGATTTAGGCACTTGAACAGCCTAGGTCTCCTGAAAGTCAACAGCCCTCTCAGAAGTGCAAATCCCTTCTACAAACAGAACTCTGGCACTTTTGGGAATGGTAATTTTTTTCCTTCTTAATTGAGCTCATCTCCTGGATCAGGCCCTTCCCTGGGAGCCGTCATGCTGGTACCCAGGTGTGGACATGCTGGGCTGCTACAGGTGGATAGAGCATCCTCAGAGGGTGGGAGAGGAGATGAGTGATTCCTGTGGTGGTGGATAAAGGAGGATGAAGACTGGAGAGTAACTCAACACATCCACAGCACATTCTTCCCATCCAAAAGAAAAACATTTCCAAGCTCGGACACATCTTGGGGAGTAGCCATGAAGTCCCTTGACTTTCTGGGAAATTTTGCATTTTATGGGACTTGGGCAACCAGGCCCACAGGCTCATTTTCGCTGCTCAAATCACACATGCTGCAACCCTTGGAGTCATTCCAGGGAATGCAAGAGGATGGAAAACCCCTTCTGATGGTCCTGGTGCTGCAGCAGCTGCTGGTGGAGGAAGGCCATGTGCAGAGGGTGGTCTCTGGGCAGAGATGCTCCCTCTGAGGCAGGTTTGACAGCTCAGAAAGCAAGTTTTCACAGGTATTGGCTGCCACAAAATGCCACAGCTCACCTTGCCAGTGGCTGGGGTCAGGAGGGTCCCCCCAGGACAGTGATCACCAAGCCAACATTCCATGGGTGGATTCCAGCAGTGGTGGATCAGCCACCACCATCAATGCAGTGTCTGTCTGCAGCCCTTCCAGAGTTCTTTGCTCACTTTTTATTTATGGGGTGAATTTAGCACGTGCTGAGGTGCTGAGCTGGAGAAACCAGGCAGTCAAGTCCTCTACTGAAGCCAGCAAAGAGCAGGTTTGGTGGCACAATGTGGTGCTTGTACCCCATGGCCAGACAGTTCTGGGCCCCTTTGAGTCTCTCCACAACCTTGGCCTCCAGTGCCAGACAAAAAGGGGTATCAGACACCTCAAATCCTGCTGCTCTCAGGGAAACTGGGGGAATCCAACACAAATGGCTTTTGGAGATGTTTCTGGCCACTCTGACTTCACCCAGCAAGCACCTGTAACGCACCTTACACCAAAACCACATTTACTGACCACAAGGACCCATTTTTGACCATTTGAGGTGCTGGTTTTTCTTCCCCCAACTCTTCCCAAAGCTGCCTTAATCCAGCACACTGGGCAAGCCCTCAGAGAGAAAATGAGGCATTGCTAGTGGAAGTACTTGAAAAATATCTAAAAATACATCGGTAAGAAATTCTTGGTCACTTGAAATAAGCTGCAGGGTTGCTTCAGATCAACTGGTGACCAAACTGAGGCTATTTCTCCTTCCCACAGGGTCTTGTGATGCTCCACACTGTGGAGGAACCAATGCTACAATCAGAGAAGGCTGCAGGAAGCCACTCACCCCTCACATCCATCCTTTTCCTCAGGTTTTCCCTCCCCATCAGGGAGATGGGGCTGTTGGATGCAGAGCCCCACCAACAAGCTGGAGAAATCCCTCAGCAACATTCCCCTGTCTGATTTTCCCATGGTGAAACACCCAGCTGTGAGCTCTTCCCCAAAACACATCTCTGCAAACGTGGTGGCTCTACCAGAACAAACATCAGCAGGACTGTGATCTCTGTGGGGATCACGGCTTTTGCTCAAACACCATTATTTTCTTTTTTCCCCCTCACCCTGCCAGGTGATTGCCACAATTTTCCCAAAAAGGTGTAACACTACAAGCTGTCAGCAGCACTGGCCCTACCTCCCAAGCTGTCATCACCTCCTGTTAGCACACTGGGCTACAGTTGCTTCAGAAAGCTGAAAATAACCCGGTGCCAGAAGAGAAGGGGGAAGTGGGCAGTGATCTCCATGTGGGAATGATGAGCCTCTGCCAGCCCTCCTGAGCCAGCAAAGTCACCTCCACTGGGGGATTCTCTGCCTGGCTCAGGTTTAAATCACTCTCTGAGGCAAACATCTCCTGTAAAACACCTCCAGCCTGGGTTGTTATCTTTATATCGTTATAATAAATGCTTTGGTTGTTTCATCACGGTAAATCCTGCCTGGCATTTGTGCCAGGGAAAGCGCTCATCAGTGCTGCTGAGGAGGGAGAGGTGCTTGAGACTGGAAAATTAGGTTGCAAAATGGGTTTGAGTTGGTTTTTAAGCTCTGCAGAACTTCATGATGGCAGCTGCTGTGATTTGGGCATGCACACACGCACACACACACAAACACATCACTGGGGTTCAAAGCTCTGCACTGCCTTTGAGGCACACACAGTCTTCTCCAGCTCCAGGCCCAGGCTGGTTTCCTGTGGAGTGGAGATGGAAGGGACACAGAGAGGGAGCTGCAGCAAGCATGGCTTAATCCTGAGGCTCCAATAACCTCCCTTGCTGCAGTTTGGTCTCCCCAAAAAGAGGGAGACACAGCCACCCTTCCCCAAGGAGCACTGGTGACCATTGCCCCATGTGGCTTCCAAAATCAACATTTCCTCTGGGGGAAGGTCAGGGGGCTTGCACTGACCCTGTCGTCCCACAGAAGTGTTTCACTCCTCTGAGTGATGAAGTTCTCTGAGTTCATCACTCCTCTGAGTGATGAAGTGTTGGGAAAGAAATGCTGGAATAGCTGAGGAAGGAAAACACAGGAGGCAGTGATGGGGGTGTGAAAAGCAGAAGGAGGCCATGGGCCTGGTGCAGGGCAGAGCTGGGTTAGGCACAGCGCTGCCATGTCAGGGAGCTCAAACTCATCTGCTGCTCTATTTTTCTTTTAAAATTTGATCTGTGGAGGCATTGAGTAGTTGACAGGCAGCCCCACAGCCTCCACCAGGCCAAGGTCCTACAGAACCTTGCAGCAGCATCCCAGAGCAGGGGATGGCTCCCTGCCCTGCTCCTGATGGGTACCACATCTCTGCCCTGGTTTTCAGGGTCTGAATTCCCAGCCTTTCCCTTCTCACTCACTAAATCTTTACTCAGCCCTAATCCTCATTTTGCAACAGGCACCATTGGTGCATTCAAAGTTTTAGCAGATAATTTTGCTTTTATTCTGTTTGGTGTGAAAACCAGCTTTCGTGAGCAGGCTCAGAAATGTCTGTTATCCTCCCAAGCCACTTCAGACCACAATATTAAA